CCAGGCTGCTGAGCGAGCGCGACGCTGCCAAGCACAGACTCGTCGTTCTGGTCAAGGACAATGGCGAGCCGCCAATGTCGGCCACCGTCACGGTGCACGTGCTAGTGGTGGACGGCTTCTCGCAGCCCTACCTGCAGCTCCCTGAGGTGGCCCCGGATGATGCCCAGGCCGACTCGCTCACCGTCTACTTGGTCATTGCGTTGGCGTCGGTCTCTTCTCTCTTCCTGTTTTCTGTGCTCCTGTTCATAGCGGTGAGGCTGTGCAGGAGGAACAGTGCGGCCTCGGTGAACCGCTTCTCGGTGCCCGAGGGCCACTTTCCGGGCCACTTGGTGGAAGTCAGTGGAACCGGGACCCTGTCCCAGAATTACAAGTATGAAGTTTGTCTGACCAGAGGCTCAGAGACCAGCGAGTTCAAGTTCCTGAAGCCGATTTTACCCAGTTTCCAGAGCCACTCCCCTGGGTCAGGCACAGAAGAAAACCCCAACTTTAGGAATGATTTTGGTTTCAGTTTTCAGTGACAATAATGTTTTTCATATTCCATATTTTGAAGATTTCATGGTAAGTTTATGATGATGGTTTTTGGCCAACCTATTAGGGATTTGAAATTGCACCGAGCTTGCTTACAAAATTTCTTATGTTATCCATGTCTTTTAAAATTGTATATTATCTTTTCCTCATGCCTATAACAAGATTAATGGTCTTCAATTTTGGCTCTTGGAACATGAATGAAGTCAATATTTGCACAAATCCTTGTTCTGGAATAGCTGAGCAATGTGTTAGAAAAGAACAATTGGAAAATTAACTATAACCAGTTATGTTTTCATGTAAACCTTTTTATTAGTTATAAACAATTGGGTACATATAGAGTAGTAATACACTAACATTTACACTAGAGTATGCCTAATTGGGAAGGAAAGAAAACATGTGTAGAGAGTATGTCTGACTCTTGCTTTATGTTGCTGTCATAGGTACCAACTTCTCTGAAGTAGTTTTCTCTTAAAATGTTATGCTAAAACTGTTGTACTAATTCTGCATCCTTCCATTAATATATCCATGTTTGTTTTAATATAACTTTTAAATTGCTTTCCTTTTTTTCATTGGTTTTAAAAGAGAAAAAAACAGCTACACCATGTTTATCCTGTGAGATGAAGTAGCATGGTAGTGAAACTGGCTTTTCCCATTTTGAGAAACAAGTCAACATAATTTTTCTGTGACAGAAACTGCAGTAGCCAGTCAATATCCATTAGTCTTTTTTACTTTAGTAACAGATCTCAAATTCTGTTCAGGACGGTAATGTGCCTAGTCAAAAGAATGAATTTTCCCAGCCTCCTTGACAGCTAGGACTGGGTATATGTTTAGGTTACAGGCCATGTACGAATGTTGTAGGAGACTTCCGATAAGTCTGCTTAAAGGGAGATGACTTACCTAGGAAGGGGATGCTTTTCTTCCTTCTCTAACTGCTCCTTGCTGCTTAAAATATGGATGTCATGGCTGGTGCACAAATAGCCATATTGAATCATAAAACAACCTTAGTGATGCAAACAATGGACTAAGTGTAGAATAAACTTAAAAGGAACAAGAGTCCCTGATGATCACGGAGTCATCATGTCATCCCTGGAATCACCTACTTCTGAACTTCTTTTACTTAAAGAAATAAGGAAACGTCTAGATCATTTGAGCCACCATTATTTTAGTTTTCATGGTGCCTCCAGTGGAATATAATCCTAGTTGTTTTTTGTCTCTTTCCACAGTAAGTTTTTAGTAAGATATTATAGACATACACTAAAATGCACAGATCTTAAGTGTACAGTTTGATTGACCTGATCTTTTGTTCTAATTCAGTTAAAAGTTGCATTCAGAATGCTTTACACGCGTTATCTTTTTACTCTTCTGCCAAACCCTAAGAAGGTTGCATTATTATCCCCTTTTACACGTGAGGAAACTGAGGCTGAGAGAGATTAAGTAAGTTGCTCACAATTCTGAAAAAAAGCAAGGGGGGATTGTAAATCTAATTTAAGTTTATCTGACTCACATGTCCAAGTTCTTAATCAATATGCTATACTGTCAGACATTAACTGGCCGCATTATCTTCCTAACTAAGGAAGTGAAATCTATCAATTATTCCTGCTGCTATTCCATGAACTGAACTCCCATGTAGAAGTCGAATTTACAGCCTGTAGTTTGTATTTATTTCTATACCAATGGCCTCATTGCTCTGGACCAATAAACCCAAGGTTTTTACAGAAGCACTACCCTAGCTAAGCTGGGTCAGACACCACAATTGCTCTTCACCACGAGGGAATAAGCCTGATTATCTTTCTATAGCTTCTCAACATATGGAACTCATTATTGCAGAAATGACTGTCTTGAATAGGGAGGGGAGTTACCCTATGATTTTATTTCTTGAAATTTTTGTACTGTTTCTTCACTCTTTTTCTGTCAACGAATAATATGTGTTTTTGTTTTCTTTGGAAAGTTGAAATTTGCTTTATTATAAATATTTTTAAAATTCCTTATTTAAATTAAATATACTATGGGAGTCCTGGTTGCTCAGTGGTTAAGTGTTTGGCCGCTAACAAAAAGGTTGGCAGTTCGAATCCACAGCTGCTCCTTGGAAACCCTATGGGGCAGTTCTACTCTGTCTTATAGGGTCAGTATGAGTTGGAATCAACTTGATGGCAACAGGTTTGGTTTTTGGTTTTTTATATTTGTTTTAGCATTCCGTATGTTTGAAAGCAGTTGCTATTCTAGTATTAATTCTAAATGAAATAACTAAGGTCATAAAATATGGGCAATGTTCTGGAGAAATTTTTATCACTAAATAACCTGGGCATTCTTGAAACTTAATAGGAAAAAGCTGATGGGCTCCAGTTATTGTCTGTTCAAATGAACCATATGTCTTTGGCAACTCTTAAAAATTATGATGAGAAAATATGTGTGTGGGTCATTTAAGTAACTATGTTCTGACAGAATGAATAACCACAGCTGAATCAGACATTCTTCAGCATTTTCTTTGATAATACTTTTCCTGTAGAGGTGTTGAATTGTTGTTCACTCAGGTGTGAGTGCATGAGAATCCATGCTTAGGTTATGTGTTAGCTTTCCATTGCTGATGTAAAAAATTACCCCGATCTAAGTACCTTAAAACAACACAAATTTATTAACATATAGTTCTCTAGGTTAGAAGTCTGACTTGGGTCTTATAGGGCTAAAATAAAAGTATCAGCAGGAATTCATTCCTTTTGCAGACTCTAGGAAAGAATCTGTTTCCAGCTTCTAAAGGCTGTCAACATTCCTTAGCTCATGGCCTCCTTCCTCCGTCTTCAAAGTCAGCAGTGTTGCGCTACTCTGATCATTCTTCCATAGTCACGTCTTCCTCTGACCATAGCCAGGAAAGCTTTCCACTTTTTTTGGTCCCATATGACTAAATGGACCCACTCAGATAATTTAATTCCCCCATCTCAAGGTCTTTAACTTAATCATACCTGCAGTTTTCTTTTTGCCATGTAAGGTAACATATTCACAGGTTCTGGAGATTAGGATATGGAAATCTTTGGAGGCCATGATTCTGCCTACCACAGGTTGGCTGGTTGGAAGAGAATTATCCAGTTTCGTAGTACCTCCTGTGGCCAAAGGAGGGCACATGAAGGTCTTTATACCAGGGAAGCAGGCCTCATTGATTAGGTGCTTTAACCCCAGATAAGGTAATTAACAGACTTCTAAAAATTATTAACAAAACCAATGACTTGTTAAAGATATCATGAATCTTTACTACAATTCAATTCAAATTATGGAAATGCCTGAACAAAAGAATCCAAAAGCATGGTGGCCCAATCTTGAGATCTACCTATTGGGGAAATAATTTTTCAATAATTTGAGAAAAGTCACAGTTCTTAGGTTAGATGGCAGAAAGAAGAGGAAATAATCAACTCTTTAAAAAAGTGTTCATCAAATACTGTCTTCAGAACTGCCACTTGTTGCAAATTTACTCATTTGTAATTCTATAGTATGTTTCATGAAAAATATGTAGTTGTGAAACTGTTCTTGTTACTTCAGAAACATTTTGCTCCTTTATTTTTCTCAGCTTAGTGTTAATTATTTTATTTAATCGCCAACACTTCAATAGCACTAAACAGTTAATAAAATGAGAGATTATTTTCTTTTGTATTCCTCCCTGTGCAATAACACAGAGCTCTATCTGAACACATAAACACGACATGAAAATAGAACTCAGTGTTTTGTATTACAGAACACAGTTTACGTTGCCTATTCAGTACATTTAGGAGAATTTTGCTTTCAGTGTTAAGCCAGAAAATATAAAACGCAGTGCGAACACGTGGTGGCGCTGCAGGTTAAGATGACGGAAAACAGAATCGCCTACGCAGCTCTATTACACAGCCAAACACTAAACCAGGAACAAAAGCTTTCTCAACCAGAGTAAAAGTGGATGTGGACCTCCTTAAAGATCTGCTTAGCGGCATATTCTGACCATCCGAACTGCAGGACTTCGCTACCGGGATCCTGGCCATACACGAAGCTTCTGTGAACCCATTTTTCAGGAAAGAGCAATGGAAATTGGATGGATGCGCATTCGGAGACAAAGGCAAGTCTTAATTTTCTTTGTTTTGCTCAGGTTGTTTAGGGCGGGCGCCCGGTTGGGGCCTTATTCGGTGGTGGAAGAAACAGAGAGAGGCTCCTTTGTGGCAAACCTAGGGAAAGACCTCGGGGTTGGATTGACAGAGCTGTCCACACGCGGGGCCCGGATTATTTCCCAGGGGAACAAAGAGCACTTGCAGCTGAAGGTTCAGACTGGGGATTTGCTCATAAACGAGAAACTAGACAGAGAGGAGCTTTGTGGCCCCACTGAGCCTTGTGTACTACATTTCCAAGTGTTAATGGAAAAGCCTTTAGAGATATTTCAGGCTGAACTGAGGGTGAGAGACATAAATGACCATTCTCCCGTATTCACTGAAAGAGAAATGATACTAAAAATACTGGAAAACAGTCCTCTAGGAATTGCGTTCCCTCTGAAGAATGCTCTGGACTTGGACGTAGGAAGCAACAATGTTCAGAAATATGAAATCAGTCCCAACTCCCATTTCCGGGTTCTAACCAGCAATCGCAGTGACGGCAGGAAATACCCTGAGCTGCTGCTGGATAAAGAGCTGGATCGGGAGGAGGAGCCTGAACTCAGATTAACCCTCACAGCGCTGGATGGTGGCTCTCCATCCAGGTCTGGGACCACCCAGGTACGCGTCGAAGTGGTGGACATAAACGACAACGCCCCCGAGTTTGAGCAGACTCTCTACAAGGTGCAGATTCCCGAGGACAGCCCCATAGGCGCCCTGGTTGTCACCGTCTCTGCCAGGGATTTAGACAGCGGAGTCAATGGAAAAATATCATACACACTGTTTCAGCCTTCGGAAGATACTAGCAAAATTTTGGAGGTTAATCCTACCACCGGAGAAATTCGACTGACAACACAAGTAGATTATGAAACAATTCCGTCTTGTGAAGTGGACATCGAGGCCACGGATGGGGGAGGTCTTTCAGGAAAATGCACTCTTCTCCTGCAGGTGGTGGACGTGAATGACAATGCCCCAGAAGTGGCGGTGTCTGCACTCACCAGTCCCATCCCCGAGAACTCGCCTGAGATTGTAGTTGCTGTTTTCAGTGTTTCGGATCCTGACTCCGGGGACAACGGCAAGACGGTTTCCTCTATCCAGGATGACCTTCCGTTTCTTCTGAAACCTTCAGTCAAGAACTTTTACACTCTGGTAACCAAGAGAGCACTAGACAGAGAAGCAAGAGCGGAGTACAATATCACCATCACTTTCACGGATTTGGGGATTCCCAGGCTGAAAACCCAGTGCAACCTAACGGTGCTGGTTTCCGACGTCAACGACAACGCTCCCACTTTCAGTCAAACTTCATACACCCTGTTCGTCCGCGAGAACAACAGCCCCGCCCTGCACATAGGCAGCGTCAGCGCCACAGACAGAGACTCAGGCACCAACGCCCAACTCACCTACTCGCTGCTGCCGCCCCAGGACCCGCACCTCCCTCTCACCTCCTTGATCTCCATCAACGCGGACAACGGGCACCTGTTCGCTCTCAGGTCGCTGGATTACGAGGCCCTGCGAGCCTTCGAGTTCCGCGTGGGCGCCACAGACGCAGGCTCCCCGGCGCTGAGCAGCGAGGCGCTGGTGCGCGTGGTGGTCGTGGACGACAACGACAACTCGCCCTTCGTGCTGTACCCGCTGCAGAACGGCTCTGCGCCCTGCACCGAGCTGGTGCCCAGGGCGGCTGAGGCGGGCTACCTGGTGACCAAGGTGGTGGCGGTGGACGGCGACTCGGGCCAGAACGCCTGGCTGTCCTACCAGCTGCTCAAGTCCACGGAGCCCGGGCTGTTCAGCGTGTGGGCGCACAATGGCGAGGTGCGCACCGCCAGGCTGCTGAGCGAGCGCGACGCCGCCAAGCACAGACTCGTCGTTCTGGTCAAGGACAATGGCGAGCCGCCAATGTCGTCCACCGTCACACTGCACCTGCTCCTGGTGGATGGCTTCTCGCAGCCCTACCTGCGTTTGCCGGAGCTGGCCCCAGACGAGGCCCAGGCCGACTTGCTCACAGTCTACTTGGTCATTGCGTTGGCGTCGGTCTCTTCTCTGTTCCTGTTCTCAGTGTTCCTGTTCGTCGCCGTGCGGCTGTGCAGGAGGAACAGGGCCACATTTGTGGGTGGCTGCTCCGTGCCTGAGGGCCACTTTCCGGGCCACTTAGTGGACGTCAGCGGCACCAGGACTCTGTCCCACAGCTACCAGTATGAGGTGTGTCTGACAGGAGGTTCTGTGACCAGCGAGTTCAAGTTTCTTAAGCCAATTATTTCTGACTTTCCTCCCCAGGGCACTACCGGTGAAATCAAGGAAAGCCACACTTTCCAGAATAGCTGTGGATTTAATTATTGATAGGAAACCATCTAATTAAGACATTTATTTCTTTAATATTTTCTGGATGATTAGCTAAATTGTGTATGTCCACCACCACCAATAAGATGTTATTTAATTTTCTCTATTTTATTTATCTTCAATTTCCAACCTTATGCAGAAAGTTTTCCCTTTCCTCATATTTAGCCAAATGAGGTGTTTCTCCCTAGAATCCTAATGATTAAAATAGTCTTTATTGTCAAGGTTGATGTCATTTAAAATCTTTTCTTCCACTTTATATATATATATATATCTTTATTTGACTTTATTTTCATTGTCTCTACATTATTCATGTGAGTTCTCCTTTTCCTAGAACATCTTCAATTTTGAAAATAATCTACAGCATGTGATACATATATTTATTATTTGATATTTCTTTCTTTTCAAAACTGTTATTATTGTTGGTTTGCCATCCTTGGTTTTCATTATAACAGTTTTTTAACTGTGTCACATTTTTAAACAAAGTTTTATTGTCACTTTAGTGATATCTCCTTATTTGGAATATGTATTATAAATGATATGACAAGTAAATATCTAATCATCCTTATCTGAAAATAAGAAGAAAAACCATTGTAAGGTATATAGTATGTGTGTGTGTTTAAGTTTGGAGGAAAAAAAAGCAAAACATAGGCATTCTATAGCATCATATGGAAATCTTTAATAATTTGTTGCTTTTAATTCTGCATTAAAAAAACAGAGATCCTTGTTAAGTTTTTAATGGCTAACAACCAAGTTCCATTTTGTTAAAAAAAATCCCAATAAAAATTATTAAGTAGATGTTTATACAGTGTGGATTTTATAGTCAACAATTACAGTGTTGTCTTGGTAATATCTAGCTTTTCCCAGTATATCTCTCAATTTAATTGTTATCTCTTGCTTGTGGGAAAATAGACTTCCCTAATAGATATTAGGCCTTTGAATAAAATCTATGTGAGGCAGATGTTACAATGCTGTTCTTACTTTCAAAAGTGTTAGGATAGGCATTAGTATAGTCTATTTACCCCTTTAGTTGGTGCCAAGAAATTTGATCCCACTAGGTTTCAGTTTAGAGGGACCTTACAATAAAGGTCAGTCACTTCTTTAACTCTGCAAGTAATTTTAAGGCTAACATCAGAAAAACAATGTATAAAAGAAAGAACAGGAATAGAAATTGCAGTAAGTAAGGGATTCAAAAATTAGAATAAATGGTAGGGACTGAAGGGCACTGAAAATTATTGCTTCATTTCTACTCACCAGAGTTTATTTATGGGTGTTCTAATACAGCAAACATTTAGTGAGCATCTGATGCACCAACAAAGATGACTAAGACGTAGTTCCTGCACTCATGTACCTTACATATCAAAGAAGGAACAAACTGGCATGAAGCAAGAAGCAATGATATTTACAAGGGCAGTCATAGTTACATGCACAAGTTTTTATGAGAGCATGGAGGAGGGACAGCCTAACTGTGTTGTACTGGACTACGTAGTGATAATTCTGTTTAGGCAACATAATGAGATTTTGAAGAAGTTAGCTGGATGAAGAAGGTGTGAAACAGGTTTTTTGTGTCAGTTTAGGTGTTCCTGTGCCCACTGTTTCTGGATAAGCAAAATCTATTATTTTTATAGTGCCTGAGATCAACACAATTCCCCCCTTTGGTTTCTGACCTTACATGGGAGTTGTCTTACGCGATTAAAGGCCTAGTACACAGCAAAATCTAAGGGTACAGTGGACATCGTTACTGGTAGAAATACTTTTTTCGGCTGTTGAATTTTTAACTTTTCACATTAAGCAGTGAAGAATTCCAAAAACCTAAACAGTTCTCTATCTCAACATTCTTTCTTAAAAACAAATGGAAGAAAAATGAAAAAATAAACTACTGAAAGGAAAATTTAAAAAAAGACACATACACAAAAGCACTCACAAAAAATGGCTAGTCACTTGAGTCTTCGGAGGCCACGAGGTGGCGCTGCAGGCTAAAGAGACGAAAAAAAAGCGAACCAAGGATGCTGCCGAGGTCACTAACAAGAAAGGAAGATTCGGACGGATTCGCTGGGAAGAAAAGCTATAGCCGCCCAATCACAGACCCCTGCTACTTCAGGCGTGGGTCTGGAGTTTGCGACTGCTGTTTCTTTATATTGGGAAATGTGGTTGTGACTGAAATTGACGAAAGCCGTGTTCAGAAGAAGCTATGGAGGCTGGAGGGCTGCGCTTCCCGAGACAAAGGCAAGTCCTGTTTATCTGTATAATTTGGGGAGTATCCCTGGCAGGTTCTGAGTTTGGACGTTATTCGGTGACAGAGGAAACAGAGAGAGGATCGTTTGTGGTCAATTTGGCAAAGGATCTGGGGCTAGCAGAGGGGGAGCTGGCTGCAAGGGGCGTTCGGGTGGTCTCTGATGATAACAAACAACACTTGCTCCTGGATTCTCAAACCGGGGATTTGTTCACAAATGAGAAACTGGACCGGGAGAAGCTGTGCGGCTCCACAGAGCCCTGTATGCTGCATTTCCAAATTTTGATGGATAATCCCTTTCAAATATACCGGACTGAGCTAAGGATCAGGGATATAAATGACCATTCACCATTGTTTCAGGACAAAGAAATGGTCTTAAAAATACTAGAAAATACAGCTGAAGGGACAACATTTCGACTAGAAAGAGCACAGGATTCAGATGGAGGACTTAACGGTATCCAAAAGTACACCATCAACCCCAACTCTTTTTTCCATATAAAAATTACTGACAGTGATGAAGGCATTATCTACCCAGAGCTAGTGCTGGACAAAGTGTTGGATTGGGAGGAGCAGCAAGAGCTCAGTTTAACACTCACAGCACTGGATGGCGGCTCCCCACCCAGGTCTGGGACCACTACTATACGCATTGTGGTCGTGGATGTTAATGACAACGCCCCGCAGTTTGCGGAAGCGCAATATGAGACCCAGGTTAAGGAGAACAGCCCGGTAGGGTCCCTAATTGTTAAGGTGTCCGCAGGAGATGTAGACTCCGGAGTCTATGCGGAAGTATCCTATTCATTTTTTGATGCCTCTGAAGATATTAGAACAACCTTTCAAATCAATCCTTTTTCCGGGGAAATCTTTCTCAGAGCGTTGCTTGATTATGAGCTAATAAAGTCTTACAAAATAAATACACAGGCAATCGATGGTGGCGGTCTTTCTGCAAGATGTACGGTTTTGGTCGAAGTATTGGACACAAATGACAATCCCCCTGAACTGATCATGTCATCACTTTCCAACTACATTGCTGAGAACTCTCCTGAGACGGTACTGGCTGTTTTTAGGATTAGAGACAGAGACTCTGGAGAAAATGGAAAGATGGTTTGCTACATTCAAGATGATCTGCCCTTCCTACTGAAACCCTCCGTAGAGAATTTTTACGTTCTAATGACAGAGGGACCACTTGACAGAGAAAGCAGAGCCGAGTACAACATCACCATCGCCGTCACTGACTTAGGGATTCCAAGGCTGAAAACACAGCACAACATAACCGTGTTGGTCTCCGACGTCAACGACAACTCCCCGTCCTTCAGCCAAACCGTCTACACTGTATTCGTCCGCGAGAACAACAGCCCCGCCCTGCACATGGGCAGCGTCAGCGCCACAGACAGAGACTCAGGCACCAACGCCCAAATCACCTACTCGCTGCTGCCGCCCCAGGACCCGCACCTCCCCCTCAACTCCTTGGTCTCCATCAACGCGGACAACGGGCACCTGTTCGCTCTCAGGTCGCTGGATTACGAGGCCCTGCGAGCCTTCGAGTTCCGCGTGGGCGCCACAGACGCAGGCTCCCCGGCGCTGAGCAGCGAGGCGCTGGTGCGCGTGGTGGTCGTGGACGAAAACGACAACTCGCCCTTCGTGCTGTACCCGCTGCAGAACGGCTCTGCGCCCTGCACCGAGCTGGTGCCCAGGGCGGCTGAGGCGGGCTACCTGGTGACCAAGGTGGTGGCGGTGGACGGCGACTCGGGCCAGAACGCCTGGCTGTCCTACCAGCTGCTCAAGGCCACGGAGCCCGGGCTGTTCAGCGTGTGGGCGCACAATGGCGAGGTGCGCACCGCCAGGCTGCTGAGCGAGCGCGACGCCGCCAAGCACAGACTCGTCGTTCTGGTCAAGGACAATGGCGAGCCTCCGCTATCAGCCACCGTCACGCTGCACGTGCTCCTGGTGGACGGCTTCTCGCAGCCCTACCTGCCGCTTCCTGAGGTGGCCGCGGACCGGGCCCAGGCCGACTCGCTCACGGTCTACTTGGTTATTGCGTTGACGTCCGTCTCGTCGCTCTTCCTGTTCTCCATGCTCCTGTTTGTCGGGGTGCAGCTGTGCAGGAAGAACAGGGACGCCTCGGTGGGTCGCTATCCGGTTCCTGAAGGCCACTTTCCAGGCCACTTGGTGGACGTCAGCGCCACCGGGACTGTATCCCAGAGCTACCAGTATGAGGTGTGTCTGACCGGAGGCTCAGAGACCAGCGAGTTCAAGTTCTTGAATCCAGTTATGCCCAAAAGTCAGACACAGGGCCATTAGAGGAATAATGAAGAAAACCCCAACTTCCAAAATAGCTTTGGATTTAATATTCAGTAAAAACTGTTAATATTTTTATGGATATTTGGTGTGTGATACAACCATACTGATACTAGTTTGGTTTTAAAACTCAAAGTTACATTGCTAGGCAATTTCAAGCAAAATTTCAAGTACCATATACCTGTTTTTACAGTATTATTTCATCCTTCTTATATGTTAATAATACATACGAAATTAATAGTTGTAATTTAACTAGTATCCATTTCTATACAATGGTTTTAAGGTTTTGATCCTTTCAAAATTTCTTTATTTTTATTTCTCATTGTAGAAAACTGAGGCTTTGTGTTTTCTCCTAGTAAATGTCAGAACCTGCATCTCATGATCCTAACCACCTCTGTCTATTGCACTTTTTCTAGTGAGAAGACATAACTACATTTCCAACTTTATTCTAACATTCTATTTATTCATGTTCATCTTTAGTTCTAAATCACAGAGTTTAAAATAAAGTATTCCTTTATTACTCTGCTCAAAATGAAACGGATTATTTTGTGAATGATATTTGACCACAATAATATCCTTGTGTTCATGTTATTATTTTATTTCCTTTAAATACACTACTGTTACTTGGCTAACATTTTCTTAAGCTCGCTTTTGCTGACATGTAAAACAGATCATGTCTTATAATTCAAATAAAATGTAACAACCTGCATGAAAATGAATATGAATAAAACTTTTTGAAAATTTGTGTGTGAGAGTGTTGATGGGCTGTTGCAAAGATTTTCAGTTTTCATTTTATTTTGCAAATTTAGTTTCATTATTATCAAATTTAAACACAATGAAGAACTAAAGCTTATAATGGGGAAAAAGTGGTTTCTTGACTAGCATTTCCTAAACCTCCAATCTCCTTCCATAGAGTGGTTTCTTCTAGAATTAATCCCAATGTTTCAATATAATATACTTATACTGCTGCATCTTGTTATTCAATTTTATACTGTAATCATTTTTTGCTATGATAGATAAAGATGTAAATTTCTTATTTCCCTATAATACACACACACATAAACACATTGTACATGCCCTTTCTCCTATTTTCCCAATTTAGTTATCATAATTTTTTAACCTCAACTAGTAGCTAGTGTCTATATTGCTAAGATTATCTCAGAACACACATAAGTGTACTATGATTACCTTTCCTTTCTTAAAAAGCATCTGTCCTAGAGCTAATAATTGCTTTTTTGTAGTTTCATCCTTTTCTATGAACCACTATTGATTTTTCATATTATCTCTTATTTAAATATCAATCTTTTCTCCTTAAAATATTCAAAGGTATTAGATACCTTATCAATTATGTTTATTTCCTGGAGATCATTTACCAAGAGCCCTCCACATCTCTGCTTCATTTACATTGGTTGATCTACAGGCTGTCATCCTAGGACTATTTTATTCTTTAATACTTTCCTGTATCAGCAGTCTTTTATAAGATCCAGTATATTCTTTCTTAGTTTACTCCCTTATTTAGCTCACACACATCTCTCAATATCATTAAAATAGGTTTAGAGGTGGTGAAAAATTTTGAGACCTTGCATTGTGAAGATATCTTGTTCTTTTCATTTGATTGATAGTTTGACTGGGTATAGAATTCTAGGCTGAAAATAATTTTCCCTCACATTTTGAAAGCACTGTTCTTTTTCTTTATTACATATAGAGTTGCTGTTCAGAAGACTCATTTCATTATGATTCTGGTCACTTTTTTATGTGCCCCCCTCCCAGGAGCATTGAATGCCTTAGTATAGGCTCTTTATTTGTTCAGCTGGTCACATGGGTGTACCCTGTTAACTTTCAGAGTCTCACTTTCAGTGCTTGTAAATTTCCTTATTATGTTTTAATTATTTTTTCTCTCCTGAGTTTTCTATAATTCTATCTTTAACCATAATCTCATTAGTGAAATATTGGACCACTGGATTAATTCTATAAGACTCTAAACCTTTTTCTTTTTTATTTTTCCAGTCTTTGTCTCTTGTTCTACTTTCTGCGCAATTCATTTTATTGCCCAATTTTTATATTTAAGGGTTTTTTTGGCTGACAAATATTTATTTTTAGGAGTTCTTTTTGGTTTTCTGGCTGTTTTCATAGCATCTTGTTATAGGTTTATAAACGTATATCTTCTCTCATCTATTATTAAACTATTCTGTAAAATTGCATCATGTAGTAAGAAGTATTATACCCATTTTACAAATTGGAGTGAATCACAGGGACGTTAAAAATTTGCCCAAGTTTATATATATAGCTAGTAAGGAACACATAAGCCATAGGCTTTTCTTTGTCTTATAATAAGAACGATTGCTTTATACAATTACTGTTAAGATTAATGGGTAAATACATATGGAGCACTTAGAAGAGTGGGTGGCATAGAGTAGGCACTCAGTAAAGCATTAGCTTTTGTTATATTTTATTTCCCTGAGGATATTAATCAGACATTTTAAAGGCTTTCTTCTATTTTCTGTACTCTATCTCTTTCCTCTTGTTTCTTTTTTTACAGTGGTAGTGGTTTTGGCTTTTCTATTTCATATTGTAGGATTTTCTTCAAATGTTTTGTGGTTCTTGGCTGTCTTATATTTGTATTTAAGAGTAACAAAATATCAAAATGTTGACAGTAAGCTCTTTTGCATGCATAAGGCCTGTTGTTGAAAGGCTTCACTGTAATATAACCATGCTAGGATAGGGCTATTACTCTGGGAAACTGACAAATATCTGTATATATAAATCTTTATCTGGGACTTTCATATTCTTCAGGTTAGAATTCTACAATATCCTATGTATAAGGGCAAAGTAGGGAGGAGTCCAGCATATACCTTGTGCCCTACAAACTGAGAATATTAAGTGGGAAGGTGCCAGAAGTCTTACCATTCAGAATGCAGATTTTTGCTTAATTTCCCTATTTTTAGTTTCACATTTGAACTCAGCTCTACCTGGAGTCTCCAAGACTAGAGATACCACTATTTAATTTCTGCAAAAAGTAAGTTTTTAATTCTCTGGCTCTGAGTTACTTTTCTGTCTGTGTAGGATGGCAAGAAGACCAGAGAATCCAACTTTTCTATATATAAATTTTTTTAACTAATCACTTTTTTGTTTTTTAGTTCTTACTTTACTTTAGCCTTTTCATGCTCCTAGTTCCTCCAGTTTTGAACCTAAATGGGATTATGTGGGGCAAACACACTAGTTTCTTGTGAGTATCTCCAATGCAGTAACTTTGTTAGCTGTTTCTTGAAACTGCTAAATCAGTTGTTCTTTCATCTGCTTTCTGTCATCAAAAAATGTGTTTTCACTTGTATATTCTCAGTCCTTGTGAGTTTGTATCATTTTTATTACTTTTGTGTCATTTTAATGTATATTTTAAGAAGAAGGAGGATAAGGAAATGTAGCCAATCCACCTACCTTTCCATTTTTTAACCTTTCTGTACTGATTAATTTTTCAACCACGTTTCTAATTTGTATTTTAAAAAAGATAATTTGAAATTAACGTTTTAAAATGCAAACTTGTTAGATCCCTCCTCCATCCATTCTTGAGAGTACTTTTGAGATCTCCTGTGTGGACATCATTCGTGGGCCCCTAGCCTCTGTTCCAACCATGCCCCTCATTATGTAGCAACCATGCCCCTCATTATGTAGCAACCATGCCCTTCATTGTGTAGCAACCATGCATTTTGGCTAGGACTGAAACCACCTCAAGCTCAAGGAGTGGTCCCTGACTGGATTAAAATGAAGTAAGAAGCAAAGATGAGTTTTCAGATTCACCTATATTTCTATACTACTTGAAATAATGATTGCTTAAGTATCGGGCATGTGATTTTAGTGGGTCCAATCAGAGTGAAAATTAGGCTTTTGTTCTATGATTAAGGGAGATAATCTCTCACCCTCTGTATTCCTTGCCTGAAAGAGAGCGGGTTGCCATAACTGCTGTTGAAAGAGATCCTGGGAACCTGAAGGGAGCCAGCCTTAGGGTAAGCCTGTCCTAAATAAAACTAGCTTGTTTGTGTTTGTGTACTTATTAAATATTTTTGTATATTATGAGAAATTGAAAGTAAATTATGAATTTACATACTGTGTCCTACTCCAGTATTTTACTTCATTGCTATCAAAGAAATCTACAGAAATGCCTTCTTGTGCTATAACAACTATCTACATATGTTTCATATCATGATCAATTCAGTTTCATATCCTCTGAGAGAACTTCTGAAATGACCCATGCACATTTTGCCTTTACCACCCAAGGAAAGCTAAGCAGTACTGGAATTTAATTCAGTTTAACAATCAGTTATACCTTCCTTGTTTCAGGCTTTCAATCGTCTCCAAAAAAATTAGAAGCTCCTTGAGGACAGGAATCATGGCTTTTATTTCTGTATTCATCACAACTGTGCACGTTTAGTTATGTGCAGAGAGGGGAGGGATATTTAATAAATGTTTTAAAACAAATACTAACAGCATCACAAACTATAGGGAATTTAAAACAGTTAAGATGGAATACAGAATATATTTGTAATTAGTTAAGGAACAGAATGGATAAAACAGTATCTGTTTCTGGGGGACATCTATGCAGAAGGAATTTAGGTAGCTTTCATCAGACTGTAAAAATCTGTGGAGACGCGTGGTGGCGCTGCAGGATAACATCGCGAAAACAATTAACTGGCTAATGTTCTGGACACTGTTACCCAGTGCACACGAGAATTGGGAAGACAGAAAGAATAGCTAGAGTGACCCAGAAGCCATTCAACACGGTTAAAGTCTTAGACCTCCGAGGATTGGGCGGATAGATCAGAGGCACAATTCCCAGAATTGCGAGGTAGAGCTGAAGCGATTTTGCAGGAAGCCTTTGGGAAAGGAGCTATGGAGAACGGAGGGCCAGGCGCTCTACGGATAAGGCAAGTCCTGCTTCTCTTTGTCTTGCTGGGAATGTCTGAGGTGGGCTCTGAGTCAGGGCGCTTTTCTGTCGCAGAGGAAATGCAGAGCGGGAGCTTTATAGGTAATGTGGCAAAAGACTTGGGACTGGAGGTGGGGGAGCTATCCTTGCGTGGGGCACAAGTGGTCTCTAAGGATAACAAACAGCATTTGCAACTGGATGTAAACACGGGAGATTTGCTCCTAAGCGAAACACTAGACCGGGAAGAGCTCTGTGGCTCCACCCAGCCATGTGTGCTGCATTTCCAGGTGTTAATGAAAAACCCCTTGCAGTTTTTTCAAATTGAGCTCGAGGTCAGGGACATAAATGATCATTCTCCCGTTTTTCTGGAAAAAGAAATGCTCCTAGAAATCCCAGAGAACAGTCCTGTCGGTGCTGTGTTCTTACTAGAAAGTGCAAAGGATTTGGATGTAGGAGTCAACACTCTAAAAAACTACACAGTCAGCCCCTACTCTAATTTCCACGTTAAAATGAGAGTCAATCCAGACAATAGGAAATACCCAGAGTTGGTTTTGGACAAAGCACTGGATTACGAAGAGCAGCCTGAGTTCAGTTTCATCCTCACTGCTCTAGATGGCGGCTCTCCGCCCAGATCCGGGACTGCCTTGGTTCGAGTCGTGGTTGTGGACATTAACGACAACTCCCCTGAGTTTGAACAGCCCTTTTATGAGGTGAAGATTCCAGAGAATAGCGTCTTAGGTTCGCCAGTTGTGACTGTGTCAGCTTGGGATTTAGACTCAGGAACAAACGGGGAAATATCATACACTTTGTCCCATGCCTCAGAAGATATTTGCAAAACATTTGAAATTAATCAAAAGTCTGGAGAAGTTAGTCTAACCGCACTCTTGGATTTTGAAACAATTGAATCATACTCGATAATCATTCAAGCCACAGATGGAGGTGGCCTTTTTGGAAAATCAGCAGTAAGAATTCAGGTGATGGATGTGAATGACAATCTTCCCGAAGTCACCGTGTCATCAATTATCAGCCCAATCCCTGAAAATTCACCTGAGACTGTGGTTGTGGTTTTTAGTATCCTAGACAGAGATTCCGGGGACAACGGGAGAATGATTTGTTCTATCCCAGAAGACCTCCCATTTATGCTAAAACCTTCCGTTGAGAATTACTACACATTGGAAACGGAGAGAACACTGGACAGAGAAAGCAGAGCCGAGTACAACATCACCATCACCGTCACAGACTTGGGTACCCCCAGGCTGAAAACACAACACAACATAATCTTGCTCGTCTCCGACGTCAATGACAACGCACCGACCTTCGCCCAAACCTCCTACACCCTCTTCATCCGTGAGAACAACAGCCCCGCCCTGCACATGGGCAGCGTCAGCGCCACAGACAGAGACTCAGGCACCAACGCCCAAGTCACCTACTCGCTGCTGCCGCCCCAGGACCCGCACCTCCCTCTCTCCTCCTTGGTCTCCATCAACGCGGACAACGGGCACCTGTTCGCTCTCAGGTCGCTGGATTACGAGGCCCTGAGAACCTTCGAGTTCCGCGTGGGCGCGACAGACGCAGGCTCTCCGGCGCTGAGCAGCGAGGCGCCGGTGCGCGTGGTGGTCGTGGACGAAAACGACAACTCGCCCTTCGTGCTGTACCCGCTGCAGAACGGCTCTGCGCCCTGCACCGAGCTGGTGCCCAGGGCGGCTGAGGCGGGCTACCTGGTGACCAAGGTGGTGGCGGTGGACGGCGACTCGGGCCAGAACGCCTGGCTGTCCTACCAGCTGCTCAAGGCCACGGAGCCCGGGCTGTTCAGCGTGTGGGCGCACAATGGCGAGGTGCGCACCGCCAGGCTGCTGAGCGAGCGCGACGCCGCCAAGCACAGACTCGTCGTTCTGGTCAAGGACAATGGCGAGCCGCCAATGTTGGCCAGCGTCACGCTGCAAGTGCTCCTTGTGGACAGTTTCTCGCAGCCCTACCTGCCACTGCCGGAGGTCGCCGCGGACAAGACCCAGGCCGACTCGCTCACGGTCTACTTGGTCATTGCGTTGGCGTCGGTCTCGTTGCTCTTCCTGTTCTCCGTGCTTCTGTTCGTCGCTGTGCGGCTGTGCAGGAGGAACAGAGCTGCCTCGCTGGGTCGCCGCTCGGTGCCTGAGGGCCACTTTCCAGACCACTTGGTGGACGTTAGTGGCACAGGGACTTTGTCTCAGAGGTACCTCTATGAGGCGTTTCTGACGGGAAGCTCAGAAACAAGTGAGTTTAAGTTCTTGAAGCCAATTATCCCCAATTTCCCGCCCCAGGGCCCTGGAAAAGAAAGAAAGGAAAGTCCTTCCTTCCGCAATAGCTTTGGGTTCAATATTCAGTGACCATATTTGGCTTTTATATTCCATATGCATTTTGTTTTGTGGCACTTCCAAACCAATGTTTGTTTTCCCCAATTTGTGTGTACTTTAAATTGTACTGATATTACTTAATATTTTCTCATGTTCTCTGAACTTGTGCTTTTAAATGAAAGTTTGTCTGTGGTTGTAATGAGATTGTAATTTACTCTCTAACCCAGGAGATCTTAATTTATAATTAATTTGCCTCTGTAAATGACAACACCAAATCACCTTCTTTCCATGTCCCCTACTCCCAGCACAGTTGAAATTTTATCTAGAATTATGCTTATTGTAAAATAAAACTGAACACTTTGTAAGTAATACAAGTGTTCAAGCATTTCTTCATTTGTTTTTTTGCAGTTTTTCTTGTGGTTTAATAATGGTTGCTATTTAGAAATGTTATTTTTCTTTCTTTAGGTCCACTGCATTTTCTTGGTTAATGTTTTTAAATATTTATTACTATTGAAAATAAACCTCAACAATCATGTCCTATGATACAACCATAAGTGTAATCATCTAGTTAGAAAGGACCAGAAGGCAAGTGTCCCAGTATCTCTTCTTCATACATCCTGGAAAGTAATCATGAAGGCACATTAATATGTGGCCATTCACAGAATCTTCGGGTATGAAATTATAGTTTTCCAAGTGCCTCATCAATGTTACAAAGCTCTAAGACACTCAGTGGAACGTAGACACCTAAATAATAATTTGGATAACATAAAGTGAACTTGTATGTTAACGTGTATAATATTTTGCCTGTATTTGCCAGAATTTAATATGAGAATTGGATGCTGAGCACTATTTTTCAAGCTTTTTAAACCATAACCAATAGTAAAAGTATGTTTTATATATTACTCAACATATAGACATAATAGAAAGAAGTTTTATGAACAATGTTTAGCCTTTTTGTGATGCATTCTGAAATTGCCTATGCTATTCTATTCTTTCTAATTATTAAATATGGTCATGATCCACTAAACTGATGTCATGGCCTACTAATAGGTAGCAATCCAAAGTTGGAACACCAGTTTTCTTGGAGATATAGAAGTATGATGTTCATTAGTGAATGATTCAAATGCAGAGAGCTTTGTGAAGTATCAATAGATAGTCCTTTAAGGTTCTCATATAAAAAATTTTTAAACCGTTTTAGGGGAACAGTTTTATCTCATGCTATACAGGCACCAACCAACTAGTCTTGCCTTTAATGATCTTACTAGTTACGGAAGAAAAAGCCTTCAGGGTTACAGGAGATTTCCCATGAATTCAATTAAAAAGTCACTAAAGTCTATATGCTGAAGAAGGAAGAATATAGAGGAAAAGGACATATGTGTGAGAGAGAAAGCAGGCATGGGAAAGAGGAAATGAATGAGGAATAAAATGATTGCCTCTAAATTCAGTGCCAAAAGATGCCCCTTGAACATACTTTAAAGCTTTATCTTAGCATTGTAAAGAGGCTGGCTATTGGTCCATTGATAATGCCAGGAAGTACAATCCCTTTCTCTAGCATATCTAAGATAACCATTTCAGTTGAACAAACCAGTGTGGACCTATTCATTATTCTTCACGTTCAAGATAAATGGGGAGAACAGAAGTCAACTATATTGCATGTAGGCTAATTAAATTTTGATTTTCTATTTTCACAAGTGGAACTGAGAGCAAGTTTATTCCCCACAAATGAAAACTTTTTTTTAGAACAAAAACTCACAATATACTAGTAAATCAATTAATATTATCCCCTGGACAGGGTTACAGCTTCTTAGTATACCAGACAAGATACGCAGAACACAGAAGGTGAAAAGTAAAATGGCCATTTCTCACACACTAGAGTGACTATAATAAAAAAGACTGACAAGAGAATACCAAGAGTTGGTGAGGATGTGGAGAAATTAGAATCCTCATGCATTATTGGTGGGAATGTAAAATGGTGCGCCTACCTTAGAAAACAGTTTGGCAATTCCTCAAAATTTTAAACATAGAGTTACCCAGCAATTCCACTCCTATATATCTATCCAAAACAATTTAAAACATATGTCCACACAAAGAAACTTATACATGAATGTTCATAATAGCATTATTCATAATAGCTAAAACGTAGATAAAACCCAAATGTCCATCAACTGATGAATGGATAAACAATATGCGGTATCAGTGCAGCACTGATACATGCTACAACATGGATGAACCTCAAAAACATTATGCTAAGTGAAAGAAGACAGTCACAAAGTTCGCATATTGTATTATCCCATTTATATAAAATGTTCAGAATAGGCAAATTTATAGATACAGAAAGTAGGTTAGTAGATTAGTGGTTGCTTAAGGCTGGAGGGGAGGGATGGAGAGTGACTGCTAATGGGCACAAGGTTTCTTTTTTGGATGATGATGGAAATGTTCTAAAATTAGATTATGGTGATAGTTGTACAACTCTATAAATATACTAAAAACCATTTAATCGTACACTTTAAATGGGTGAAATTTATGGTATGTAAACTATAGCTAATAAAACTCTAAAAAAATAAAGGTGAGGTGGTTCTAGCAGCCTGTGGTCCCAAGTAAGCTGAATCTTATCTATAATGGGGCAAGGGGAAAGAGCTGTTTAGATGGTGCAGACAGAAAATTTAACAGGTACAACAACAGAGGCAAGGACTAGGTACTTGTCCTATTGCTTCAAATGTTCCCCCATATATGAGCAGCAGGACTTCTCTATTTGTGGAAAGAACTACGTGTTTCCTGATCAAAACTTCTGTGACATAATAATTTCAGATAACTCCTTCTGAGAACACAATTTTCCATCCTTTTAACTCTTTCATCTTACTACTTTCATCACATCTTGTCTTTGACCTTATCAGGACCTCCATTCCAGGAAGCTGCTACTACCTACCAACCCCCCTCCTGTTTCAATTTCCTTTCTATTCTACTGATTCCCTGGTTCATCCCTCCCAATCACTCTTTCACCCATATTCTCAATTCTCTTGTTTAGTTTTCCCGTATGATGAAACTCTATCCTGCTGAATGCAATAGTTTGCATCCTTCCCCCTTACCCTTGGGACACTATACTTTATAAGAGAAAATTACAAAATTATCAATACTGCTGGTACTATAAATTTATCACATTCAAACTTAATTAGACTTTCAACAACAAGAAATCCTTTTATATTTTCCTAATGGTGCTTTCTCTTCTATTCTCCATAACAACTATTTCAAATATATTTATCTTACTTTAAATTTCTCACCCTACAACTTACATATTCCCTTTTACAGATGAACCTGCCTAATACCTTACAGAGAAAATAGAATCCATCAGATAGGAATTCTCTCAATTTCCTGACCTCCAAACTACAACTCTGACAACATCTGTACCTCTTCTTTCCCCTGCTGAGCTCCCTTTCACCTAAGTGCAATTCCTTCACATATTTTCTGGATCTCATCTTCAATCATCTTTGGGGCTTCACATTGATTATCTCCTCTCTTTTGTATCTTAAATATCCCCCCTCTACAGAATACTACACATTGACATTTTACATACGTTCAAGTCTGTCTAATATTAAAAAAAAAAAACCTCATGAGTTTAAATTATCCTCCAGATACAGATCTATTTACTTTTTTACAACCACATTTCTTGAAAGAGTTGTCTAACCTCATTTTCTACTTCCTCATCACTTTTTAACCAAGGGCAATCTAATTTTCATCACAACCACTCTGTCGAAACTCCTATTGTAAATGTCATCAAAGATTTCTGTATACGTTAGGTAAGGTTATACTGCTGAAAAACAGAGTACAGCGGCTTGTAGAAGGTATATCTTGTTCATGTAACAGTTCAAATGTAAATGATTAGGTAGATAGGGCAGTTTTGCTCCTCACAGTCTTTTTGGACCAAATTTTGCTCCAAGTGCTTGCTCCAACATTATTTATGGCAATGTCATAGTCTGCATGGCTGTAGCTTGGTCAATGCTACATCTAGGGTCTAGCTGGTTGGAAGAGAGGAGGTACACCCAGATGTCTTCCATTCCAGAGTGAAAATTGTCAAACTAAATTTCTGCTCAGAGCCCTTCTGTGAGAACTTAATTCACTTGGCCACAGCTAACTACAAAGAAGGCTGAGACAGGCAGTCTATCTGAGTTGCCACGTACTATGGAAGAAAAGCCGAACAGATTTGGGTAGCCTTCTATCAGAATCTTCCACAATGATTGCCTTCTTAAATTCAACGGACAACTTAAATTCTGACTTTTCTGAAGCATTTGATACTATTGATCTTCCTTATCTCCTTGAAATTTTATTTGCTTTAGTTTCACAATTTTGAACTTGGGGTCTTCCCTCTCTCTTTTTTAAAATACTTCTTCCTCTCTCTTCTCTAAATGAAGGTGTTTCTCAGGGTTCTGTCCTAAGCCCTCTTCTATTCTTACTTGACACACTTTTGCTTGGTTATCTTAGCACTCTCATGGTTTTAACCACCATATATATCCTGATGAATCCCAAAGTCCAAAGTCCATATCTCCAGCCTAGATTTATTTCCTTTGCTTCATTTACACACAGACACACACATTTCCCACAGGGGCATGTGTGCTCTACAGGCATCAACCTCACTATCGGCATGTCCGAAATTGAACACATAATCTTCTTCCACCTCAACTTTGTTTTATTTTTCACTGTTCCCAGTTTTAGTGAATGCCACCACTAGCCACACAACTGCCCAATCCAGAAGTTTGGTAGTAATCATCTTTGAGCCTTTCCTCTTTTTCTCCCCATGCAACCTATCAATCACCAGGTGCTAAATATTTTACCTCCTAAATATATTTTTTTAATCATCCCTCTTCTCTCCACCCAAACTGGCATTACCCTGGTACAGGCCACCATCATCTCCTAACTGGTCTCTCTGATTCCAGTCACACTCCCTGAAATTAATTCTCCATACTGCAGCAAGACAGACTTTTTCAGAGATGCAGATGTGAGCATGTTAATCATGTTTTCAAATCCTACGTTGTATTTGAATTGCCCTTAGGGTAAATGAAAACATGCATAACATGATGTACGTAATTATTCATGTTCCAGCCCCGATTTTATCCCTAATCTCAATTATAAATTCTCCTTTTCTATGTTTTAAAGTTCAAGACACACTGAAAATGCCTGTGAGAAACATTCTCCCTTCTCTGGCTAGCTCCCTCAGATCACAACTTATAGTTCACTACCTCAGGAAAGCTTTTCCTAATGACCCAAGTCTAGGTTAGGTTTTATTTATTTTATTTGTTAACAGATGC